TAATTTTTGTATAATTTATCCATCACACCCCATATATGATTTAAGAAACAGCAGATCATATATATATATATATATATATATATATATATATATATATATATGTTAGTGCTGGATATTAAAATAATATTAAAAATAGAACATTAATGATATATGAAAAGATTAACTTTTAAATATCAGTTTTTATCCTGACATCAATGTTTCTTAGCAAAATTTCCAATCATGTGGGTAGTGGTTTTTGAACAGTATTTTCAATCTGAAATTGTAAATACTATCCAAAACCACTACTCCTAAGAAACATCAATGTGGGGATAAAAATTGATATTTAAAAACTTAAGTAATCTTTTCACATAATATATATATATATTATACACACACACAAAAATAAACTCTCCAAATGAGCTTATTTTATAAGAAAAGAGCCTAAGCAATGTTCATTGAGCTATTTCAACAAAGACCTTATCAACAATATCTTAATTGATTTTTCTCAGATAAGTGTCAAAACTTTCTTCAGAGACTTAATACATCCTAATATCCTATTTGTAAGTAATCAATCTTTACACATTTGCTGATTCTCTAATACTGTCATAACTGTCACACAAACATTTAAGCATTCAGCATGAAAAAAAAATTTAGATGGTTATTTATTGCCCTTATCAGTAGTATTTAAAGGCTTAGCTTAATCCCTTTCATCTATTTTAAGCTATATAGTCACTGCTATATAATATGACAGCACAGCAGAGAAATCATTGATTGGTTTTTCTTATGACTTATCAAGCCTTTGTGGGTTATTGAAAACAGACATTTTGGATTATAAGGATATTTTTGTGAGTGAATATTGCATCAGTTTTTTTTTTTTTAGAATAATAATGATTGATTTTGTTTTTTGCAGATTATGAACCCTTTGTGGGTTATTTAAAGCTGAAACCTTTTTGGGGGAATTGTAATTTTTTTTTTTTTATAAAATCCTACTATTTAACCCATAGCTAGGGAAACCTGATGGATTAGTACCTTTCTTCAAGAGTATTTGCATGTAAATGAATATAATGAACCAGACTAGGCTTGCCAATTTTTCATTCTGAGCGAATACAGCATTGAAACGGAAGGGATATAATAGCAGTTTAAGTTTTGACTTTTCACCTGGTCCGTTTCTTGCATGGGTGGTTGCAACATCACAAAATCATCACTTTGCAGATGACATAGATGATCTAGATTGTAAGGAAGAACTTTAGTCTGGTGAAGCACTTGGATTAAACATCATCCAGATATAGCATGGAGATTAATGCTGAGTGACGGGACAAACTCATGATGAACAATAAGAAAAACCTTTCAACCAAGATAAATTTGAGGATCAGGAATTTAAAATAGTTAACCAATTTCAAAAAAGAGAGTTCCAGATCAGAAAAAATTTTCAAGAAGAGCACAAAAAAAGTGAAAGCTGTTGAAAACTCAGAATTCTCTGGGAAGACAAGAATATCTGCTGGAAATTAATGGCCCCCACTTCAGTCATTTTGTGAACACCTGCAAATATACATTAACAGCAGCATTACAGAAAGGAGATGCCACAGAACCATTCTAAGCATCTCATATATAGACTGCATTACAAATGATGCAGTGAGAAATATCATACAAGAAACAGGCTAGTTGGACAACCTCATATCCACAGTCAAGTTGAAATGATATGGCCACATAGTAAGGGCGTTGGTCTCAATCCTTGCTGGAAGGATTGCAAAAACGTCCCCTCTCCCCAAATTTATAAGCAAAACAGATGCATGCTGTGGTTTTTTTCCTAACCATAAAAATAGGCCATTTCTCAGTTTCATCTGACTCAGTTCTTGTCTTGAAGCCAGAACGCTGCAATCACTTGTCTGCAGCCCCTTTTTTGTGTTAACACCTTTCTTGGTTGGTGTACATTTTGCCTTATTACTGTTGCTTTGCCTTGCATATATTGCTCAATATTATTCTTAGCACCATTCTTTTTTTCTTTCTCTTGTTTATTGCAAAATTTATCTTTTTGTTAGGCATTTCTGCCAATTACTCTATCAAGGGCCATCATTCTTTACAGTGCCATCCTAAAAGATTGCACTTTAAGCAAGAATTGTTGCTGCATCAAGTATGGTGCTTCTATGTGTGTAGAGATTCTTGACAAAATCCAAAGAAGAATCTGTAATGTTACTGGCTCTGCTCTGGCATTGTATCTTCAGTTAACTTTCCCACCACCATAACAGAGCTTCCCTGTGCCTTTTCTATAAATATTTTTATAGGTATTTGTTCTGATCTTTCCTCTTGTTCCTCCTCTTCATGAATTTAAGCATGCTACTAGATTGGCAGCTAGGTCTCATTTTACTTTAGAAATTGCTAAGTGTATCCATAAGTTCTATTCTAACAGTTTATTCTCTTGCACTTCACACCTATGCAAGGCTTATGGTCATATCAATAACACTGGTTGTCATACAATCAGTGAAGTTAAGCAACACCAAGTCTGGTCAGAGACTGTTTGAAAAAATCAGGAGCTGTAAGCTTGGATCTGCAGTTGGAATAATAGATAATGGCTTGGAATTAGAAATCAGAGAGCCAAATTCCAATTGGGTTCATTATATTTTTTCTTTATGTGCCATGTCCTTTCAGGATGTAGGTGATCATGGCTCTCCACCTCCCTCTATCCCTTGCAGCACTCAAGTTCTTTCCCTTTGCTTCTTCTCCCAGACCATGTTCTGTCATCCACTTGGTTAAGTCTACCATTGCATTGTCTTTCCTTGTCTCTTTATTTGACCTGTGATTATCAGATTCTCCAGGCCCTCCTTCCTCATTAGGTATCCCAGAAATTTCAGCTGCCTCATGTGCCTTGGGAAAGGTAAGGAATCCACCTTTTCTCCTCTACAGCTTTAGGTTAATTAGTAATGATTTAGTGATACAACCTGTAAAAACGACAAAAAAAAAAAAAAAAAAAAAAAAAAAAAAAAAAAAAACTAACCTGTAAAAACGACAAAAAAAAAAAACACCAAAACAAATCAATCTAATACTTTCCTATGAAACTTTTCCAGCTTTTTACTTTCCTATCAACTATGATCGTCAGACTATCCTCTTGAATCCTGTACTTTTTATTCTTCTTGTTCCTCCATAACATTTTCTTGCACCTTGTGGCTTTATCACCTTGTTTTTTTTTTTTTTTTGGGGGCGGTGAAATGATTAAAAAATGCAGACGTAGCAGAAGTAAAACTAGGATGACATTGTCACCGAGAGGATGAGAAGATCATTTACAGAAACTCGGACATTGGTATGCAACTATGACATGTAGAGAGATTCTTAGCTGTGCAGTGACCCTAACAGCTCACAGGAGTAATAATTTTTTAACATACCCCCCTCCCCCCAACACTATATTTTCATCTACTTAGCTTGGTCTGTCATAAGGATACAAATATGGGACATTTAGTGAAGATCAAACTCACTCCTACAAAAAGGTATGTGGAATATTTTTTCTACAAAACTGTTCCACATTCCTCGAGGACGTGGGTGATCACGGCTCTCCATAACTTCTTATTCTTTGTAGTAGGTTACATGTTTCTCCTCTTCAATATACAAAGTGTCTAAATCTACAAGCCTTTTTTCTCTTATTTTATGTCCTAAAACTTTCTAATTAGGTATTCTCAGTATCCTTCTGTAGAACCACATTTTAACACAACTTCATCCGTTAGGAAATTATTTTGCATTCACTGTGTTGTAAGGAGATAAGTGAAAAATGTTCTCCGCAAATTCTTCTCCGTTGGGACTAAGCAATATTTGTTGGTTGACTAAAACTACCACACCTTGCTCTATGATCTATTTATGTAAGATATTCGAGTAAGTTATTTTAAGTTTCCCCTCTAGCCCTTAATGTCCTTTAAGTGTCAAGTTCTCCAAGTTGCTTTCCTTTTCATTGTGTGTCCCAAGAATTTCAACTATTGAAAGTGTCTTTTCATTCTCATCTTCCTTAAAACTTCCTGTGAATTACCAAGTTTAAATACAAGACCACAAGTATGGGGCACACTAAGGATCTGAAAGAAAAAAAAAAAAAAGGCAAACTCCAAAGTAGTGATTAGTCTGGTACAAGGCCAACATAAAGCATGTGGTATGTTTGCTATTGTAGGTAATATGGAGTTTTGCTATTTTTGAAAGTTTTTAATTTTTGATGTAAAACTGTCTAAAGAATGTGTAAAGTATGCAATATTCATTTTTTATTTGTTGAATAAGTCATTTTAAAGAATTTTCTTGTAATCAAAATTGAAGCTTCAAAAATGTATTTAAATTATTTCAAGCTTTAAAGTAGATGCCTCCACAGAAATACAAAAACTAAGATTTAAAATTTTAAGGAAAATAATTTAGATTTGGAATTCAGCAAAGTAAGTTTCTGTTTTGAAATTGGGACTAAAATCAATGATTTTAGCTCCATTTTTCACTGCAACAAAGATGCTAAAATTTCCTACTATTTTCAACAGCCTTCTTATCGTCAATGTGGACATTCCCTCACTCAATATCGTTATTTTCCATTTCTCAGTAGTTGTTAGATCCTTCCCTTTACCCATGTTTCAACATATGTACAAAAAAAAAAAAAAAAAAAAAAAAAAAGTTTTTATTAGATTTCAGGTCTTAAGCTAATATAAATTTAATCTGCATACCAACTTCAATCAGCCCACTTTTGTAAATTCCAAATATCTCAAAAAGTAACCATTAAAAATGGCAGAAAATTTAAATATTTTACTAAGGGTGGAAATGAGTTTAAATTTAAAACAGTGATTCAGAATTATGAGCTATTGAGGTTTATTTAGGATTTGCATAATAACTTCAGACAAACTGTATATTTTATAAAGCAGCAATAATTTGGTGTTTGTGTGAATGTGTGTTAAAACAATCCTGGTTTGTTTTAACATTGGCTATATTTCAAAGCAACATAAGATTCAGATTATTTCTTGGTCTTATTTTACAGTTAAAATAAAAAATTACTACACTTTTTTCTTTTATTTCAGGTCACTCAACCAACTTTGTTATCAGTGTTGAGCTTCCATCCTCAAAATCTCAAGATTACTGGGTAGCCAAAGGAGCTGCTTTGATCTGTCAATTAAGTGAATGAAATGGAAACATTTGAAGTTTAAAAAAAAAAAAAAACAGTAAAATTCTTGTTCTGTGTTCATGCCGATTGATTGTTCACACTTTGACACGTGTATATCAGTCATCCCACCTTTTCTGAATAACGGTGTTCCTCTTTTCAGTCATCCCACCTTTTCTGAATAACGGTGTTCCTCTTTTGTGATGGCTGAAGAATAGATGTTAGTCGCATTGTCATGTTAACAGTTGGAGAGTTTAACTACCTGAAATTGCAAAGATAATGACTTCTCCAAGGTACAGAAAATACAAAGTGTAAAATGTCCCAGCAGATTGTCTAACTGAATCAAATATTTGCTCATGTTCTGTAAACAATTATTTTTAGTCATGTATTAGATATTTTATTGGGTGGTGGTGGAATATATATATATATATATATATATATATATAATCTTGAACAATTGTGCTATGATGTACTGTTTTTTTGAACAATTGTGCTATGATGTACTGTTTTTGCTGTGTAAATGCATAAGCATACAGAAATTTCACACAGCAATATTTTCCTCTTTCAAAGCTGATATTATTTGCTCCTCAGTTTTTTTAATACAAAATTGATTGATTGATTATTTGTTTTACTATCATATCAAACCCCTGTTGAACATTAATGCTGAGAATGTTTCAAAACGTTTCAACTGGTTGTGAGGTTTTAAAATTGTTTTGGAATATTCCAGAAATATATAAATTGTATGTTTCAATATACAAGTTGGAAGTATTTTATTTTTTTCAGATATCCTGTTATTTGGGCAGTAGGCACATTTTTGAAGAGCATATTAAGATTGGTAATGCTTCTTACATTCTATCGAGATATATTTGAGATTGAGGAATTGATTGCAGTTACTATACCAAAGTATTGTTTCTGCCTCAAGCATATGGATACAATTCAAATCAGTCTAAATGGAGAGAGAACAAAAGTGTACTCCATACTTATGAAATTTTACAGGAAATTGTTTAATGCATCTAGTTTGGGTATTTTAATGCTATTTCCAAAGAAAGATGTATTATTTTAACTGTCTGACAGTAAACTATAATATAGACAAGTATACATTCTATCCTACCTTGGTACCAATTTGGATGAAGCTGTGTATTATAGAAATTTTTTTTTTCTTCATTACAAATTTCTGTGTAAAAAGTTTGAGCTGTACATACATTTTTTTGCAAGTATTTTTACAGAAAATTTTTTTCTACTTTTAAATGGTTTCTATGAAGGTATTATATTGTGAAATAAAAGTCAATGTGACCAAGGTTATAAGAGTACTGTATTTCCTGGAACTGTTGATCACAGCATATGATGTGTTCTCTTGCAGGATCTGTAACAATATAGATGTAGTATAAACCACAGGTGAGTATTGGATGAACAAAAGGTGTTAAAAAAAAAACACATGTGATAAGGATAAGCTTGCATGTTAGTCATATTGAAATGTTCATAGAAAGTGAAAGAAGGTGAGGGGGAAATATGAACACTAAGCATATCATTCATAAGGAAGCATGCATAGTAGGTTAGTAAAGTTGCTAAATGTATTAGACATTATGAAGAAAATATTCCCTTTGGGAAAAGCATGAATCAGACCTACACTACTACACACATCTTGGCATGATCCTCATGTTAAAAAAGTTATGACAGAAAAGTGACTTTGATCCTCACTGGGTGCTCTATGTAAGATATGTTTAGAAAAAAAAAATTATCTATATAGATATATATCAAGTATAGGATTGGTGTATACGGAATAAATTCCAATAACAACAACAAATACTATTCTTAACAGAGTAGAGCAAATATAATCATTTATTTAAAAATTATAATATAAAAATGTTATAAAACCACTACAAAAATAGCCATTTTGTTTCAACACTTCTGGTGTCTTATCTAATGAGCTTCACCTAGGTAGGTCTAAGTTTTCAAGTTTTCCCTCTCCTGAAATAAAAAAAAAAAACAAAAAAAAAAAAACAAAAAAAAACACAAAAAAAAAAATACAAAAAAAACACAAAAAAAAATACAAAAAAACAAAAAAAATAAAAACAAAAAAACAAAAAAATAAAAAATACAAAAAAAAACAAAAAAAAAAACACAAAAAACAAAAAAATAAAATAAAAAAAAAACAAAAAAAAAAATAAAAAAAAAAAAAAAAAAAAATAAAAAAAAAAAAAAAAAAAAAAAAAAACACAAAAAAAAAAAATACAAAAAAAAACACAAAAAATAAAAATACAAAAAAAAACACAAAAAATAAAAATAAATACAAAATTAAAAAATACAATAAAATAAAATTTAAAAAATATATAAAATAAAATATATATATATATATATAAAAATCAGTTTGCCCTATTATTTAACCCATACATTTTTCGAAAAAAGACATTGATTCATACATATCCCTAAGAGTATTTGTTTGAAAGTGAATATAATAGCTCAGTTTCTTGTTCCATTCCATTTTTAATACGTCCATATGTTGAAACACTAGATCTCATATGATCACCGAAGTTGAGCATGGTCGGTAGGTAGATAGGTGAATTCTTGGAAATAACATGTACTGTAAAGTTTAAAAGATAATATTTTCAGTAATTACTTGCTCTCTTAACAAAAATTGTTTCAAAATCTTAAAATTACACAAGTTCCATCAAGATGTTTAATTGGAAACAATGAGATGTGCAGTTTTTGAAAAGTCTAAATATTGGATGAAGACACTGTCATTAAGAAAAAAGTGGCCCAAAATAACAGGTCTTAATCTAGCTAATATCTTAAAATTATGTGGCAGGTTTATCTGCTGAAACCTGTCTGAATGAGATACGCTGCGGAAAATGTTTGTACAGGCCACCAAAAATGGTAAATAAAAATAAATGTTTACAAATTTATATATAAATGCATATTTTCTGACAAATGTTTTTCAATAAATAAGAATTTATATATTGTCATCATTCATGTTCATTATATATATATATATATATATGTTTGAATTCAAGTCTAATTCATTACATTCACTTATGTGCTAATACTGTTGGGGAAAGGTGTAAATCCTCTTCTCCCCCTGCTATGGGTAAATAGCAGGACAGCCTGGGTTCTATAGATTTGGATGGCAACTGGCCTAGGCAAAGGACAACACTGAATTCGAAACCTGTGGAGAGTCATTTGGGGGACCTTGTGGCTTGTAGTGGACCAGTTCTCTGTATTTGGCCCCTCAAAAAAGCCTTCACCACTATAATCAAAGCATGTATTGGTGTTTGTGCTGTCTGTTCTTATGAACTGAGCTGCTTGACCCTATGTCGAATATGACAGGAGAATCCAATATATATCTCAAAACTAGTGTCCAATATATATATATATATATATATATATATATATATATATATATATATATATATATATATATATAACAAACAGAAGCTTTAATTTATAAAGCAGGAGATATAGATATTGTCCAAAATAAAGCACACATGCGATGTACAGAAGGTACTTATAAACGTCCATGGCACATGCATATGATGACATTTAAGCTAACAAATCTTAGTTACTCTACCAAACTTGCTAACTATATATGGAATTAAAAAAAAAAAAAAAATTAAAAACAGGGATCCGTTTGTAAGGTGGAAAATTTTTAAACAGTCAAACCTTAAAGCAATCACAATAATAATTGCATCCTATGCCAACAGAAAAAATAGCAATTATAACTTTTCTTGATTAAACAAAATAAGAAACAAAAAAAAAAATAAAAAAAATAAAATATCATTAGGCGGTCATTTCATGAAAATCGCCTGAGGATATCGTAAGGTTGACACCAAGGTAGCAGATTCAACTGACCTGATTTTTAAAGTTAAAAGCTCTTATTTTTACTTATGTTTTTTTTTCACATGTGTATTGAGTACTTTTTACTACTACTCTTTCCTGGTCTGATTCAACTGACCATTAACCGTTTATGTATATATAAGAAATAAAAATACAGACAAGGAGTTAATTTTATCAAATTCATTAACACCCATAGTATTTACTTTCACATTTACTGGTGAATGAACCTGCGTCCTCGCTGGGGAGGAAAAACCGTAATTACATATGACGTGCTTTCGGCCATGAAGTGTGTCGATGATCATGCAAAGTTGAATAGTACCTTTAAATGCAAAGTTTCCCCGATTCTTGAAATCTTCAGATCATTTCAGTTTTGTATTCTAACGTAAAAAAAGAAAATTCTAAAGAAGTGATGGATTTTTATTTCGACAGATTTTATTAAAAGCTAATTTTAATGAATAGCTCTATTTAAGTACATGACCAGTTTATTGATGAAACAGCATATTTATTTCTTTTCGTCTACTGGCCTGAATATTCCAGAAATTTTATCAAAAGAATATGCACTCTGCATAGGCACTATTCAACTTTGCATGTCAGATCTAACAACGATGTCCCCTTCGCTGACAGGTTCAAATCCTGCTAGGGAGAGCATATTTTTCTTATCTTAAAAAAAAAAAAAAATTGCGATAGGTTGATAAACCAAACAAAACAACCAACGACAAGATTTGTTTTTCAACTTAATGCATATACTTCCCCTATTTTCATGGTGCATTTGAATTGCTCACATTAATATGCAGTTTTAAACTACGCAGAAATATTTGATCAGCTACGGCACAAGCTTCTATTTCAACTTCCAGGAAAGCCATAATCATTTTATTCTGGCTTGAAACAAATTTCCATAACCAGTTTCCTTCAACCAAGAGAGTAGCGATATTAACATAAGTCAGTCAGTCCACCAACACGTGTCTGTTTACTACTGCAGTCGCACTTTTTATGGCTTGATTGACACTTAACATGTTAGACATTCACGCGAGAGATTGTGTGACTCGTGGAGTCGCTATTTTCTTTAATAGACAGGTAAGTTCGGGGGAGAATTAACACTTCCCTTGACAAACTTCAAACGACCGTTATTTTGTTAACTACCTTTCTCCCTCACCTCTTTTATACTTTATAAACGAACGGAACATTTTAAGACT